AGCGGCACGACGTTGTCTAATGCTTTTGTAATGACAAAGTGTTCCACATCCGAGAATCGGAGCACTGCCAGAAGACATAATGAATGAAGTCCTGACGCAAGATGGCGAAGGTGCACCGATGACCCTGACACACAGAAGCAGGGTTTCTGATCTTCTCTGCTTCGTGGAATAGAGGAAAAAGCATCTGCCAGATCAATAACTGCTCACCAGGTGGCAGGGACCGCATTTACTTTCTTGAGCGATGATACCACATCTGAAACAGCAGCTGCAATTGGAGTCACCACGTAATTGAGTGTATGGAAATCCACTGCTATTCTCCAAGACCCGTCTGCCTTCTCCACCAGCCGAACTGGGAGTGAGGTGGGAATGTGATCAGATCCCTGGCCCTGCATCTTTAAAGGCCTTGATGATATTATTAATCTCTTCGGCTCCCCAGGGGTACAGAGTTGCTTTTGGCTTATCACCTTGGTAAGGAGGGATTTCCATTTGACTTTTCTCGTCATCAGATCCCTTACTCTGCCAGTCCAAAAGCCGATCCAGCAACTCTGCGAGTGGCTGGGGCTATCTATCCTGGCAGGGAAAGAAATAGGTCTGGAGACCCACGGGGCCCATTGGGAAGTCATTCTGGTCAAACTCCGTTTATTACTTAACCCACCTTAACTCCCTCTCTGACCAGTAGAGCCCAGAAGAAGTTCTGGGTCACCAGGAATTAATCTTAGCTCAGAGTCATGGCCTGGTTATCCGCACAAGGCCTGAGTGGTAATATTTTCATTGTGCCTCGTTACCCAGGTCGTCGGCCTCAGGTCCCTCTGGGGAAAGGCCAGAGGCAGATTTACAGTACAGCTGACCCTTGAACAACACAAGGTTGAACTGCACAGTTCTACCTATATGCATATTTTTTTCAATAAACATGCAGTCATCCCTCTCCATTCCCGGGTTTTGCATCGGCGGACTCAACCAACAGCAAATCGAAAACAGTATTTTTGATCCACATTTGGGAATCCACGGGTGCCGAGGGCCGACTGTACACATTTTATATAAGGGACTCGAACGTCCGTGGATTTTGTCATTCGCGGGCGTGCTGGAACCAGCCCCTGTGGCTACTGAGGAATGACTGCGCATACTTGTCATGTTGCCGCAGCCTCATCCAGCTTCCTCTTCTTCCTCCCCTTCCAAGGGTCCGGATCAGTGACTGAGTCAGGCTTGGGAGTCAGTGCAGGGACTGGTGCTGTCAACAATTGCAGCTAAAGTCAGACCTCTGTGTACCAGACCCACAGTTTTTTTCAGGTATACAAATCAAATAGAAACTTAGCAAATGGGTGGCTCAGACATTTTGGTTGTAGAGACTCATGATCAATTAGCCACATCAGTCTCAGCAGGTCAGACGTTCTGGTAACTCAACTGGCCCTGCCTATTATAATAACCATGCTCATTTTTCTCTGGAAATGGAGTGCTGCTACTTGCTTTCCACAGACCCCGGGTCTGCACATCCCCACTGAGATGAGGAAGCCCACTTCAGCTGCTGCTTGTCCCACCAGCAGCTCTCACCAAGGGCTTTTTAGAGATGCGAGTACTTACCCTCCCAAAGAATTTCTCAAAGCCTTGATTTTCTGGGGGTGTCAACTTCTGGGTAACTAGGAAAATGTCATGTCTAATACATTCTGTTGGGAGGTTAACTTTATTTCGAAAGCAATCGGGAGCCATTAATGTGTTTCCACAGTGGAGTAGGGTGATGAGATTGCTATCTTAAGAATACTCTCGCTGTTCGGTGGAGTATAATGGAAGAGGCAAGGCAGGGGTGAGGGGAACAAGTGGGAATCAGATGTAGTGACCCCAGTGAGCCTTTGAAACATGCAGATGACAGCCAAGTCCTGAAAAGTACAGGACAGGTGGATATCAGCACCGGGGAGTCAGGGAGATACACCAAACACTTGGGGAGGCCTGGACAGGGCGTGGTGCATGCATAGGGGCACATGGCTGGGAGGAAAAAGGGTTCATTGCTGTATGCAGGCTTGGTCTTTCTCATGGCTCTGCTGGGCAGGGCTGAACAACATGGCAACAGCCCAGATAGATGGCTTGAAGGAGAGTAGGTCAAAAGTTTTGTCCCCAGGAGGAGTTTGCGGGCAGTCTGACCTTATCTGGGGCTTTTGGTGATTTCAACTGTAAAGCTCTGAATTCCAGCACCTGGCTTTGCAGCAAGCTGTGGCCTGTGGAAACTATCTTGCTTGCATCACACTCAGTGGAAGGAGAACAAGTAAAAGTCAGAGCTGGGGACGGGATTCAAGATGGCGTAGAAGGTAGTGGCTGTGCATGCCTCTCCTAGTGACCACACTAAAATCGTAACAGAACTACAGAGCAACCAATTTGTGGAGTCGCCAGAGGTCTGACTGAATAAGAGCCCTACAACTAGGTCACCTCAAATAACAGGTCACCTCAAAATGGTAGGAGGGACAGAGATGCAAAACGGCTAGGTCCCACAACCGCGTGTGGCCATCGAGAATTGGGAGGGCTATCTTAGCTGCTGAGCCACCTCCGGGACCTGAGGAGCAAGGGCTCCCCAGCCCAGGGTGCCAGTGCCGGGAAGAGAAGTCCCCACAACGTCAGCGGAGGTTGAGGCTGAGGGAGACAGAGGGCTACAGGAGTCGGAGACCCTCTTAGAGGGCCCACACCCAGCCTTACTCGCTGATGGCCTCCTCACGCTGAGCTCCAGTGCTGGGTCAGCTGCTCATGGGTCGCCGGGGACATATAGGTAGGCACTGAGCTGTCGGGCTTCAGGGCAAGGGCTGGAGAAGGGGCTGGCTCCCAGACAGAGATGCAGCCAGAAGCCATTGTTCCTTTGCTGAGCCCTATCCCTCTCCCAGCCTGCAGACGCAGGTGCCACCAACCTAGATAACACAAGTCCCTCTGCCCAGGGGATTCCCTGAGATTCTGTCTCTCCCAACTTGTGGGCCACCCAAGCCACTTCCAGTGATTTGTTCCATACAAACGGGCTGTCTTGGCTCCTGCTGCGAAGTTTCATAAAATCTTTCAAAGGCTAAGAAAACCCAGAGAAGGAGCAGCTAGCCTTGGTGTGCCCTGTCTCTCTTGCTGAGCAGCCCCAAGCCACGTACCAGTGGCAGCTGGCCTCGGTTTCTGACTTGGCCCCTCCAGGCACCTATAAGTCCAGCACGGGTGGCAGACATATGTGGATTGTTTGATGACTCTTACCAGGTGGCCCTGTAAGTGCACAGGCTGCGGCTGAACTTGGCCTGCAACTTGACCCCTCCCAGGTCTGTGCAAAGGGGCCCCACAGGACATCTACTGCATTAAGCCATTCTACTAAGACTGGGAGACTTAGGAGCCCTATCTAATACATAGAAACAGACCCAGGGAGGCAGCTTAAATGGGGAGACAAAGAAACATGTCCCACATGAAAGAACAGAACAAAGCTTCAGAAAAAGAATTCACCAAAATGGAGACAAGCAATAGACCAGATGAAGAATTCAAAACACTAGTTATAATGATGCTCAAGGAACTTAGGGGAAGAGTAGATGAACTCAGTGAGAACTTTAACAAAGAGAGAAAAAACATAAAAATGGAGATGGAAAACATAATAGGGAGCCAGTTAGAAATGAAGAATACAGTATCTGAAATGAAGAGTACGTTAGAGGGAATCAATAGAGTGGAGGATCAAATCAATGACATAGAGGATGGAGTAGCAGAGGGCACCCAATCAGAACAGCAACAAGAAATAAAAACCTAAAAAAACGAGGATAGTTTAAGAAGCCTCTGGAACAAAGTTAAGCTTGACAACATTTGCATCATAGTGGTACCAGAAAGAGAAGAGAGAGAGCAAGAAATTGAAAATCTATTTGAAGAAATAATGATGGAAAACTTCTCGAACTTGGTAAAAGAAATAGACATACAACCCCAGGAAGTTCAGAGAGTCCCAAACAAAATGAACCCAAAGAGGCCCACACTAAGACATATCATAATTAAAATGCCAAGGGTTAAATTCAAAGAGAGAATCTTAAAAGCAGCAAGAGGAAAGCAATTAGTTACATACAAGGGCATGCCCATCAGACTGTTAGATGATTTCTCAACAGAAACTTTACAGGCGAGAAGGGCTTGGCACAAAGTGATGAAAACCCAGGACCTACAGCCAAGATTACTTTACCCAGCAAAGTTATCATTTAGAATCGAAGGACAGATAAAAGACCTTGACCAGACAAGAAAAAGCTAAAGGAGTTCATCACCACAAAGCCAATGTTACAGGAAATGTTGAAAGGACTTCTTTAAGAAGAAGAAAAAAAATCCATCAAAAGTCTAAATAAAGAATGGCAATAATTTCATATCTATCAACGAGTACTTCGAATGAAAAGAATTAAATGCTCCCGTCTAAAGGTATGTTACAGGCTAAATGGATAAGAAAACAAGACCCTTACAAATGCTGCCTACAAGAGACTCACTTCAGATTAAAAGACACATAGAGACTGAAAATAAAAGGATGGAAAAAGATATTTCATAATGGACCTAGAGGGTAGTGTGCTGAGTAAAGTCAGTCAGATAGAGCAAGACAAATGCCAAATGATTGCATATATATGTGGCATCTAAAGGACAAAATAAACAAACAAAAAAGCATAAAAAACTCACAGATACAGAGAACATTTTGAGGGTTACCAGGTGGGAGGGAGATTAGGAGGAGTTGGTGACAAGGGGGGAAGGGATCTAGAAATTGGTAGTTACAAAATGGTCATGGAGATGTAAAGCATAGCATAAGGAATAAAGCTAACAATATTGTAATAACTAACAATATTGTAATAACTATGTACGGTGCCATAGGGGCACTAGATTTACTGGGGTGATCACTTCGTGAGTTATACACATATCTAATCGCTATGTTGTACACGTGAAACTAATATAGTACTGTATGCCAACTCTAACTAAAAAATAAAAAATGATTATTAATTTTTTAAAAAGCCAGGGACCTCTGCCGGAGGAGGCACATTTCCTCTGGCCACGCCTGACTCAACTCCAGCTGCCGCAGACAGTTGTGTGTGTGCTCGTCTGACCTCGTTCCGACAGCGTCTTGCCTCAAGTGTGAGCTGCCCATCTCCCTGCTTTCTGCCCCATCGAAGCTCAATGTTATCAGAGTCTGCTCTGCCCAGGCACCCACCTGTGCAAGGTAACACCCCAGGGGCAACCCTCAACTGGTGGGGTGCAGGGACAGCTGGGTAAGTGCTCCTGCCTCCTCTCCTTCAGGTGGACGATTCTGGGGAACAGTCTGTACACTGTTCAAAGATCCTGGTAAGCTCAAGCTCCTGTCGCCCACAGCGGCAGCACTGATAATGCACCCTTTTCTCCTTTCCTATTGCATGTCCCCACTCCCTCATGACCCTCCTGGGGTCGTCTCTCAGAAGGGCCATGTGCACCTAAGTCCTTGTCTCAGGCTTGGCTTTCGAGGGAACCCAAGCCAAAATTCTTTTTCTATTTGGTTCCTTTACTACCCAGAAGCAGACTGATCTTTTTAAAACATGGGATCGTGTCTCTCCTCAGCTGAAAACCCTCCACTGACTCCCATGTCCCCTAAAGGAAAAGCCAGAGTCCTCAGAATGGTTGACAAGGCCTGGCAGAACCTGGCCTTCCTACTGTTCCCTCTCTGATGTCACCTCCTGCTCACCTCTCCTTGGCTGTCCTATAGCCACACCGAACTTCACAGACGCGCAGGGCGCTGCAGCCTCGGGGGCTCTGCGCCGGCCAGTCCCGCGTCCCGGAATGCCCTTCCTCCACCTTCTTCTAAACATGTTTCTTCGCTTCCTCCAGGACCCTGTGCTCAAAACGCTCCTCAGAGAGGCCTTGCCGTGTGAAACAGCAACCTCTTTCCATAGCACTGGTCACCAGTATCATAATTTTTTTTTTTTTTGGATTTGTTTTCTGTCTCCTCTCCAATTTGAATGTTATCTCCATGAGGACAGTGACTCAGGGACTTTTTTTTTTTTAACTGCAGAACCTAGAACAGAACCTAGGCAAGTATTAAGTGCTCAATAAATATTTGTTGGGCGAAGCAAATAAATAAGACTGAAGAAGGGTGTAAGGATCAGGCTGTGGTGACCTTGAACCCCCAGCTCCTCTGTCTGTCGTGGGTATGGTGGCAGCGCTTGGCTGACCGCAGGATGCCTCTGCAGAGAACTCCCTCGGAGCTTTGCCCTCTAAGGCTGCTCTTGGCTGAAGATCTTTTGGGGGGCCGACGCTCTGAAATGTGTCTCAAGGAGTCCCAGGCAAAACCTCAACGACCTCAGAGCAGTTAGAAAAATAACACCTCTGTGAGTCTACTCTATGCTGATCCTGTGCAGACCCTCCAGTCCCTGAGACCCTGGCCATTGCCGGCATGGAATGACGTTAAGTCACCTCCGAGTGCTGGTCTCAGGCTCAGTAGCCAGCAACTCCTCAGGTTCAGAAGCAACGGCCTTCTCACCAGCAACAGAGTTGGAATCCATAGGGGCTCTATGAAGGGACCGAGGGGTGGCCTGGGGGACAGGCATGCTGCAGCCCAAGCCTTCCATTCCCAAGCTCTCTGAACAGTCGTACTGTCCCCTCCTCATGGCTCAGGCACGCGGACCTGGGGTTAGGGGCCAGGCCAGGCTCTATCTTTCCTCCAGTGGGAGGCAGCCCATTGGCCTTGACAGACACCTGGATCCTCTCATGAAGCAAACAGCACTCGCTCCCTGCGAAGGCAGGAGACACAGCCTCAAGTGCCAGAGGGAGGGAAGCCCCCTGCTGGGGTTGCCCCAGCCGCCCCCTCCTGGCTTCCCCAGGGCCCCCGACTCTGCAGGCTGTCAGAAGTGGGAGCTGCAGCACGGCACTGAAGAGGTTAATGAGCATCTGCCTCCGAATGTTAATGTGTCTAGGTGATGTCAGTGGGAGCCGGGAAGAAGGGAGTGGGGAGAGCAGTGGGGCTTGGAGGTGGCAGAGGCTGCAGGCTGCCGGGGGAGACCCCCTTCTGGGCTGCACGGCTCATGCTCCAGGACAAGGCGGGCGGGCGCTAGAGGCTGCCGCAGCCTGCGTGGGCAGCCGGGCCAGCGGGCGACCGGGCACCCGCAGGATGGACCTGGAAGCCTCGCTGCTGCCCACTGGCCCCAATGCCAGCAACACCTCAAACGGCCCGGACAACCTCACCTCTGCCGGTGAGTAGGGTTTGAGGGGAGCCTGCCTCCTTGGCGCTGGGGGTGGGAAATGGGAAGGTTTCACCTCTCAGCCAAACTGCTTGGGAAACTTTATGACAGTTCTTGGGGACGAGATCTGCAGTCTGCTTGCCCAGAGGGGAAGAGGAGAAGGGCGCGGGACAGGCAGGGGCAGGAGGGGCAGGGGCAAAGGCACAGTCAAAAGTGACAAGGGATGGTGGCCAGCGGTGGAGTCATGCTGAGATAAGTTCCAAATATGCTCTGCAGAAAAAATTCCGGGCTGGAAAAGCTGGAAAGAGAAGCTGGAGGATAGCGTGTGGGGAGGCGGCCGGAGGCTTCCTCGTCCCCGATCCCCTCGGCTCTTTACTCAGCGATTGAGGCGGCCGGAGGCTTCCTCGTCCCCGATCCCCTTCAGCGACGGTAATGGGGTCTGAGCCTTTCTGACTGGCCCCTGAGAAAGGCTGTGGGCAGGGATAACTCACAGCGGTTAACTTTCCTGGTGAATGAATCCGCCTGACATTTCCAGAGCTGAGATGCCCTGGAATTCTAGCTTTGAGGGAGAAGGGAAGGGAGGAAAAAGAGGAAAGGTTTATGTGGAAAAAATTCCCAGGCGGCTGGGCTGCAACATGCAGCTCTGGTCTCCGCTCCCCCTGGGAGCCCAGGCTCAGAAGGTGCGGCCTAAGGAAATCCCCGACAGGAACCCAGGAGAGGGGCGGGCTGCAGGCCCGAGGGGCAGAAGTCTCCACAAGACAGTCGCCCACAGAGATGCCCAGGAGTCGGTGCACAGCTCCAACCAGCGATTTCTAAAATGAAATGATCAGGGCTGCAAATAGGAAAAGACAAAGTACATGCACATGGGAGCGTGCACGCGTGCACACACACACACACACACACACACACACACATATACACACATACACACACACACACACTTCCTGTCCTTCTGAGGTTTCCTGATGAAGCCCAGGGCCCACAGAATTCTCTGCAGACAGCTGTGGTTGTTGACTTTGTGTCTTCTGAGACAATGCAGGAGACAAATGACGGGGTCCTTCGACTAACGGGTGGTATGGGAGAATCCAGTAGGATTGACCAGGGAGCCAGTGGAGGAGGGCAAGGGGACAGGATGGGTCAGCACCGGAGCAGGGACGGAGCGTGGCAGCAGAGGATTCCAGATGAGCGGTGGGCCCTGAGCTGGAATGGCAGGGAGGACGCAGGCTGAGCACGCCAGCAGGATGTCAGGCCTGAGCAGAGTCCACATCTAGCGATTGACGCTTGCTCCTCCTGTCCCCAGGGCCCCCTGCTCGCACAGGAAGTGTCTCCTACATCAACATCATCATGCCTTCGGTGTTCGGCACCATCTGCCTCCTGGGCATCGTGGGAAACTCCACGGTCATCTTTGCAGTGGTGAAGAAGTCCAAGCTGCACTGGTGCAGCAATGTCCCCGACATCTTCATCATCAACCTCTCGGTGGTGGACCTCCTCTTTCTCCTGGGCATGCCCTTTATGATCCACCAGCTCATGGGAAACGGCGTCTGGCACTTCGGAGAGACCATGTGCACCCTCATCACAGCCATGGACGCCAACAGTCAGTTCACCAGCACCTACATCCTGACCGCCATGGCCATCGACCGCTACTTGGCCACCGTCCACCCCATCTCCTCCACCAAGTTCCGGAAGCCTTCTGTGGCCACCCTGGTGATCGGCCTCCTGTGGGCCCTCTCCTTCATCAGCATCACTCCCGTGTGGCTCTACGCCAGGCTCATCCCGTTCCCGGGGGGCACAGTGGGCTGTGGCATCCGCCTGCCCAACCCAGACACTGACCTCTACTGGTTCACCCTATACCAGTTTTTCCTGGCCTTTGCCCTGCCCTTCGTGGTCATCACGGCCGCGTATGTGAGGATCCTACAGCGCATGACATCCTCCGTGGCTCCCGCCTCCCAACGCAGCATCCGGCTGCGGACCAAGAGGGTGACCCGCACGGCCATCGCCATCTGCCTGGTCTTCTTTGTGTGCTGGGCGCCCTACTATGTGCTACAGTTGACCCAGTTGTCCATCAGCCGCCCGACGCTCACCTTTGTCTACCTGTACAACGCGGCCATCAGCTTGGGCTACGCCAACAGCTGCCTCAACCCCTTTGTGTACATCGTGCTCTGTGAGACATTCCGCAAACGCTTGGTCCTGTCGGTGAAGCCTGCGGCCCAGGGCCAGCTTCGCACCGTCAGCAACGCCCACACGGCCGATGAGGAGAGGACAGAAAGCAAGGGCACCTGACTCTTCCCCGGCCACTCTGGGCTCCTCCAAGTCAGGACATCACAGCAGACCACGGGGAGAGATGCTGAGAGAAACCCAAGACCACCCTAGGGGAATGCAGGGAACTGGGTGGCGAGGGGCCGCTGCCACTCAGCAGTTTCCACAGGGCCCACAAATTGCGGGGGAGGCTCCCAGCCAGGCCCGGGGCCGTTGGGAGAGCAGGATGAGACCTTTGGGTTGAACAGAAACTGAGGAAGAAGGAAATTGTGGTTTACGTGTTTAGTTGAGCTCTGCATCAGCTGGCTCCCAAACGTCTTCTTCCCAAGAGGTTTGTTTAAAATCTCGTAGGCACAGCACGGACCCTGCGGGGGACAGGAGAGGGGATGCGGTCCCTGCACCCTTTCCACCTCTCACTGGTAGGGTGGAAGGCAGCCTTTCTCTCGGGCTGGAGGCTGACAGACGAAGCGTGCCGTCTCTCTGTGTTCTAGCTCCCTGTGTCTATTTCCCTTTATCTCTAGGGGATGCATGTTTATTACTTGAGGGGGGGTGCCTCAGAGCCTACAGAAGTAAAAGCCCAATTTGCAAGGAGATCCACTCATTTAGAATGACAAGGCTACCTGGGGTAGGTAGGGGTGGGGATCTTGAAATTAAAAATGGGGAGGAAGAAGGGGGCTTTGCACCTGTGGGCCCACTGTCTTCAAGGGGGACATCCGTCCATCGCCAGATCCAGAGCGTGCGCCCACCAGTGTCCTGCACGTGCAGGGGTCATTCTGATGCCCGGTGCACTGGCACCATCTTTTTGCTCTGGTTGTTCCTCTTCAAACAAAACAAACCAAAACCAAAAAAAAAAAAAAAAAAACCGAATAAAGGAAAATCTCCACCCACATCTTTCTGGATGCTCTTGTATAATTGCTTGGGCTTGGGGGCGGGGATGGGATCGGTGGCAGGAAAGGAAAGAGGGGTCACTTGGCTGTGGAATCTAGACCTTGGTTCAGACGGCATTTTAGGAAGCAACAAGCAGGGGATCTGCTTGTCTAAACCCACAAGGAGGATTCGGTGACACACATGAAATTACTGTGAATTCATTAGATTGCAATTCTGCTGCTGGGCTTGTACTCAGGACTCAGCTTCCTGTCTTCTCCTTAAAAGCACTCGGTTGTCACCAGCGCTGGCCCCTCAGGCCCTAAGTCCCACCCCCAGCTCCCTTGGTGAGTCACCAGTCGCAGGGCTGGCTTCTCAGGGCAGCCTGAGCCAGCCTCTTGCAGCTGCGGGGATCTGGTGTAAGCCACGTTGAGCCGGAAGATTATAGACGGGGCCGCTGGGCGGCGGCCAAGGCTGCTGCTTCTCAGCTTCTTTACCAAGAGCGGCTGGGAGCCAAGAGTCCTTGGCGCTAACTGCTTAGCAGCCGTTGAAGAGGTAGTGGGAGCAAACTGCGAGCCTCTGAGCCTCCGAGCCTCCAACTTGTCCGATTGCATCCTCAAAGGAGGTGCACCGGCACGCCCTCCTCTTGCTGGCTATTTTTAATTGCAGAGTTATGGCAGGTAGGCTCTTTCACAAACTTGCGGGCAGCTTCTTTGGATTCTGCCTGGGAAGCTCTTTTTATCATCATCAGTAGCAGTGGTATTTCCCAGCTTCTGTCCTATCCCACCCAACACGGAGGGCGGGGGGATGGGGGGGCAAAGAAGTTGATGGTTCCTTTTCCTTACTTGCTAACAGTGGGGACTCCAGCTGCCACAGGTAAACTTCAAATCTATTTTAGATGCATCTCCGATAAAAGAAAGAAAGATTCTTAGAGGAGCCTTAAGGCAACTCCTACCCACTGGTTCCAGAAAAGGAGGTTTTCCTGAATCTGGTTTGCCTATGAGAGGCTCCCCCAGGGGTCTACTCCCCACCCCAGGTCATCTGAAAGAGGAAGTAGGTGAGATGGCCTCTCCCAGGAAATGGAAGTGACCAAGTCAACAGGTCACATAGGTAGGTGAGCCTACAACCTGCTGAAGGCCCCAGCAATTCCTAGGGAGGGGAACACCCCTTCTTTCAGCTCCCGACCCCATATTAAAACAAAATGGAAGCCAAGTGGGTTGAGTGGTAATGTAAACAAAACAGAGGGGAGAAGGTCAGGGGAGAGATGGAGAAATCTGAGAGAGTAGGGGATGGCGAGGGGAAAGAGGGGGGCAGGGAGGTTATCATAGGAGTGGGGGAAACTGTCACCAACACACCTCTTCCCAGCAGTAACCTGAACACAGCGGAGGTGCCTCTGGATAAGCAGGAGCACGTGCAGGGGGAGGGGTGGGGCGCTGGCAGAGCCGTCCTCCCGATACGTCGGGGGAATGGGGGACCGGGTGCAAGGCTGGCGTGGGCATCTGGGGCATGAGTGGCATGTTCCTTTTCTCCCCATTCAACCTGGGGCTGAGGAGAGCGGGAACGTGGGGGGAGCTGGGAGGGGGTGGCGCTGCGAGATACAGAAAGAGCCCGTGAAGGGGACAAGGACCACGTGATCGACCTCTTTGCTCCTCCCCCATTCCACGTCTCACACACACCATCTCTCCCGCTGGGCCCCTCAATCATCTCCCCAAACCCAGTGAGTGCTCGTATACAGTTCCTTCATCTGCTCCCTGGAAAATATTTCCTCTCCCACTGTGAGGATTATGTCCCTAAAATCCCCTGTGGTAGACGATTCCACAGCTGAGGACATTAGCTCTCATGGGGCAGGCAAACCAAAGTTCCACGTGAACGCATAGAAAGCCTCTGCATGTTGATGTTCGCTAGAGAAATAATGAGAGCACCAAATAAAGACACTGGTCATGAAATCTTTGGTTGTTTTTCTTATATCATCAGTTTTTATTCTATTTGTTTTTTGTTGTGGTAAAATATACGTAACTGAACTATACACTTAAAAATAGTCAAGATGGTAAATTTTATATTACGTGTGTTTTACTACAATAAAAAGCTATACGTATAACATCAAGTTTACTATTTTAACCATTTTCAAGTGTACGATTCGGTGGCATTAAGTCATCCACATGATTGTAAATTACTTAATGCCTTCACCACTATCCATCTCCAGAATTTTTTCGTCTTCCCAAATTGAAACCCTATACCCATTAAACACCAACCCCCTTCGTCCTCTGCTTCCCCCAAGACCCTGGCAACCACCATCCTACTTTCCGTCTCTATGAATTTGACTACGCTGGGGACCTCATGTAAGTGGACTCATACAGTGTTTGTCTGTTTGTGTCTGGCTTATGAGCATGTTTCCAGGGTTCATCCATGCTGTAGCATGTATCAAAATTTCATTCCCATTTAAAGCTGAAGAATATTCTGTTAGACGTATGTACCACCTTTTGTTAAGCCATCCATGTCAGTGGACATTAAGGCTGTTTCTGCCTTGCGGCTATTGTGAACGATGCTACGGTGAACATGTGTAGTATATGCCACTGAGCTGACTCTGACCTAACCCTCGACATGATGGTATTGGAAGATGGGGCCTTCGGGAGGTTGCAGGTGTAGATACGGTCATGAAGGTGAGGCCCTCAAGGTGGGATTAGTGCTCTTATAAGAAGAGACACCGGAGAGCGTGCTTCTCGCTCCTTCCAGCTGCACACACCAACGAAGATCTGTTATTTAAGCCACGCAGTTTATGGTGTTTTGTTACGAACCCTGAGCTGACTGAGACAACTGGTAAGAGCTTTTCTGGTTATAAATGACAGAAACCCAACTCCAATTGATTTGACCAAGAAAGGAGACTATATCGGCCTATTAAGTGGAAAAGTTCAGGGCAGGTGAAGCTTTAAGTCATGACGAGATCCAAAGGCTCAGGCTCTGCCATCAGGACAGACTCCCCCATTCCCTCTTCCTCACGCCCTCTCTCTCCATCGCTTGGCTCCGTTTTCCTCTCTGTTGGCTTCCTTCTCAAGGGATGTCCTCCCATGTGGTAGCAAAGATGGCCACCAGCAGGAGTGTGAACTTGCATTGTCCTCACAGGCAGCAGCTCCAGGAATTGACCAGGACTTCCGTCCTGCCACTTTCCCCCCAGCATGTGTTTCAAACCCCCCAAAAGCCTTCACTGGTCCTGTGTGTGACACACCTTCCTGCTTCCAACCGACCAAGCTTGAGAACCAGGAAAATGAGACACTCTTATTGGCTAGTATAGGTCACATGTTCACCCTAGTGGGGCCTTTCCATTGGCAGCCTCACTCTGTGTGTGTGTGTGTGTGTGTGTGTGTGTGTGTTAGTTTCTAAAAGAAAAAGGTAATTTATATTACTTCAAGTGAAGAGAAGGGTGACGGGCAGACAAAAATGACAGATATCCCACTGGGTGAAGTCTCAATAATTGGAGAGGTTGCCATGGAAAACAGAAAGGGGAAAGGAACAGGAAGGAAGAATCAAGGAAGATTTGGGGGACAGCAAGAAAGCCAGTGATTCCTGTTGAGGAATCTTGCACAGGAAAGAATCTTTAACCTTGAATGTGATGAAAACTCTGGACTCTCCTCTAATCCAAATGCACATTTGTTTTTGCACATAAAACACTGAAAATAAGTTTGGAGGGTTTATAACCTCCTCCCCAGATGTAGGGGGTCAGGGAAGTACCTCTGGTAATGGAGCAATCCCTACATGTGGAATCTAGATATCTGGCAGCAAAGTCAGCTATCGGACCCGAATGGCTGTGGCCAAGTGTGCAGGCACAATGCCCAGGGTCGGAATGAAAGCAGGCAGGGGCCCTGCGCTCCTAGAGCTTCCAACCCCAGTGAGGAGTGAAACAATCAGTGTGAAATTACAAACAAATGTGAACTTACAACTGGGACTCTACAGAAGAGAGAGGCATGAGAGAGGGATGGAGCCGCTCAGGCAGGTCCGTCCTTGGCTAAAGAAGTGACATTTCACCCACCGAGCTGTGCAGGGTAAGGGCTTTCCTGGCAGAGGAATTATTTGTACAAGAGCTTGGTGTTTGGAAGGAGTTTAAGGGAATGCTGATGGATGCCTTGATTTGTGTGAACCAAGACAATGTCTCAGCTGGGTACATACTGTGTTTTCAGGTTCTTCTAGGTCTGTTTTGCAATGTATTAACGAGAAAGAAATCTGGTTGCAATTATATGGTTGTAACAGCAGAGCAGGGGCAAACAAATGCATTGCAAAAGGGAAAAATTAGTTTGGTTCATCCTGGTTTCGCTTGGATCTTACAAGGAAAAAAAAAAAAAGCTGAAATTCCAAATGCCAGCTCCATGACCAACACTTGACAAA